TTTTCCCTTAGTGTACCAATGGCACCCCTACTTTTTATTGGGGGCATTTTGCATCGCCTGCCCAGTCTTTTACTTTCGTAGGGAGTGATTTCTGTGTGCAGATTTGGGACCATTCCTTCCAAGATTTTCAAAGTGTAGATTATGATATATCTCTCCCTCCTGCGTTCCAACGAGTACAAGTCAAGTGCTTCCAAGCATTCCCAGTAGTTAAGGTGCTTGACAGAACTTATACGTGCAGTAAAGGATCTCTGTACAATCTCTAGATCTGCGATTTCACTTGCTTTGAATGGAGATGTTAATGTACAGCAGTATTCCAGCCAAGAGAGAACAAGTGATTTGAAAAGGATCATCATTGGCTTGGCATCTCTCGTTTTGAAAATTCTCATTATCCATCCTATCATTTTCTTTGCACGTGCAATCGTGGCACTGTTGTGATCCTTGAAAGTGAGACCCTCAGACATTACTACTCCCAGGTCCCTTACATTATTTTTCTGCTCTGTTGTATGGCCGGAGTCAGTAGAATACTCTGTTCTAGTTATTATCTCCTCCAGTTTTCCATAACGGAGTAGTTGGAATTTGTACTCATTGAACATCATATTATTACCGTTGCCCACTGGAAAACTTTGTTTATACCTTCTTGGAGGTTAACCGCGTCCTCAGCAGATGACAGCCTCATGCAGATCCTAGTATCATCCGCAAAGGATGATACGGTGCTGTGGTGTATATCTCTGTTTATGTCTGATATGAGGATAAGGAATAAGATGGGGGCGAGTACTGTGCCTTGTGGAACAGAGCTCTTCACTATGGCAGCCTCCGATTTAACTCTGTTGACCACTACTCTTTGTGTTCGATTTGTTAGGAAGTTGAAGATCCATCTCCCCACTTTCCCAGTTATTCCTTTAGCACGTATTTTATGGGCTATTACGCCATGATCGCATTTGTCAAATGCTTTTGCAAAGTCTGTGTATATTACATCTGCATTCTGATTTTCTTCCAGTGCATCCAAGGCCATGTCATAGTGATCCAGTAGTTGTGAGAGGCAGGAGCGACCTGCCCTGAACCCATGTTGCCCTGGATTGTGCAGATTTTGGGAATCCAGGTGATTTGCAATCCTGCTTCTTAGCACTCTTTCAAAGATTTTTATGATGTATGACGTCAGAGCTATTGGTCTATAGTTCTTAGCTAATGCTTTGCTGCCACCTTTATGGAGTGGGGCTATATCCGTTGTTTTAAGTGACTGGAATTTCGCCCATGTCCAAGCTCCTCCTCCATAGTGTACTTAGGGCACACGAGAGGGGTTTCTTGCAGTTCTTAATGAAAACAGAGTTCCACGAGTCTGGGCCTAGGGCTGAGTGCATAGGCATGTTGTCAATGGCTTTTACGAAATCTATCGAAGTTAGGGTAATGTCGGAAATCTGGCATACATTTATGGAGTTTTGAGGCTCATTCATGAAGAAATCATTTGGGTCGTCGATCCTCAGACCGATTAGTGGTTCACTAAACACAGAGTCGTACTGGGATTTCAATATTTCACTCATTTCCTTGTTGTCATCTGTGTAAGTCCCATCCTGTCTGAGTAAGGGTCCGATACTAGATGTGGTATTTGCCTTGTTTTTGGCATATGAAAAGAAATATTTTGAATTTCTTTCAATTTCACTAATAGCTTTAAGCTCCTCCTGCCTCTCCTGGTTCCTGTAAGAGTCATTTAGCTTAAGTTCGATAGTTTCCACTTCCCTGGTCAGCGCCTCCTTTCGTGTATCAGATATTCTAGCACTCCTGAGGAGTTCAGTGACTCTTCGTCGTCTTCTGTAGAGGGAGTGTCTTTCTCTCTCCAGTTTACTCCTGCTCTTCTTCTTACTTAGGGGAATATGCCTAGAACATGCTTCAGCTGCCAGGAAGTTGATCCTTTCAAGGCACTGGTTTGGATCCATGTCATTTAAGACATCTTCCCAACATGTTTCGATTAGGACATGGTTTACCTGGTCCCAGTTGATGTTCTTGTTGTTGAAGTTGTATTTTGTGAAGACACCTTCACAGGTACATGCATTCTGCTGATCAGGACCCCTATGCATGTACGTCTGGACTTCGATTAGGTTGTGATCAGAATTAGTTGTTTTTGATATTCTTATGTCTCTTATCAGGTCCTCATTATTTGTGAAGATAAGGTCAAATGTGTTTTCTAGTCTTGTTGGCTCCACTATCTGCTGGCTTAAGGTGTGTTTTTCGCAGAGACTTAGTAGCTCATGTGTGTGTGACCTTTCTTCTGTGCTACCTCCAGGGATTGTTTCAGCTATAACATTATTTGCTACATTCTTCCATTTTGTATGCCTTAGGTTGAAATCACCAAGCAGTAAGATGTTTGGGGATGGAGCTGGAAGGTTTTCCAAACAGTAATCAATTTTCAGTAGCTGTTCCTTGAACTGTTGTGAGGTTGCATCTGGCGGCTTGTATACAACCACAATGACTAGGTTTTGGTTCTCGATCTTTATTGATAGAACTTCAACTACCTCATTTGTGGTGTTCAGCAACTCTGTGCAGATAAGGGACTCTTTGACATACAGGCCAACCCCCCCTTGTTGCCTGTTTTTTCTGTCGCATCTAAAAAGGTTGTAACCACTTATCCATATTTCACTGTCAAAGTGATCTTTTGTGCGAGTCTCTGTGAAGGCTGCAAACATTGCATTAGACTCCTCTAGAAGTCCACTGATAAAAGGTATTTTGTTGTTGGTGGATGGCTTAAGGCCCTGTATATTAGCAAATATGAATGAGGTTGTATTCTGTGTTTGTTGGGGGGATTTTGTTATTGGCATCAGTAGTTGTAATTCTGGAGGGCCATGGGTGGCCACTGGCTGCGCCTCCAGTCCAACAAGGCTCCGAGGTGGTGGACTATTTTTGTTATATCCTTCCATTTTCTTTTTCCGTTTCCTGCCACTAAAAAATCACCTGGAGTTGGGTTGTCGTAGCTACTATTGTTTGTCTTGTGGGGTCTGTGCCTCCTGGTCCCTTTTAGATAGTATGCAGGGCAGTCGATGTTGCAACACTGCTTCTGGAGGACCGAGGAGTGGCACATTTTTGGGTGAAAGAAAGTACAGGAAGAAGAACGACACACTCCTTTAGACAGGAGGTCACTACATTTTTTGGGATGCTCAAAGTTGCATGTCCCATTTTTTTCCTGTTATTCCATGCTTACAGATGCCCCAAGCATAATATTTGCACAAATTCACCTTTGGTTGAGAATTGTTGGGAGGTGTGTTGTCAATTTCTGCAGGTTCTGGGACTGCACTATAATCCTCAGTATCCAAGCCAGGGCCACCCCGTCCTGGTTTCCATCTACTTTCCCCAGTAGAGGAAGAAGGAGGAGACTCCTCTCCAACATCTGTACTGTGGGCCACGGTCTTGTGCAATGATGGTTGTATATTTACGGTTCTAGATGGTTGTATATTTACTGTTTTTGTGGTGGTTTTGGTAGTGTCCCTAGGAGAGTCTGGGCTGGCAGTAAGGCTGGGGGCTGGGTCTGGGTCAGCACTGGGGCTGGGGGCTGAGCCTGGGCCAGCACCAGCACTGTGGGTATTAGTGCTATGACTGGGGGAGCCTGGGCCAGCACCAGCACTGTGGGTATTAGTGCTATGACTGGGGGATGGATCTGGCTTAGCACCATGTGGGTGACTAGATAGTTTCGAGTCATCTGTTGTGGTATGGACATTCTGCATTTTTTGATACACTATCTCTTGCTCCCATGTTTTATATATTTTTGGTAGACTATCCAAGAGGTCATCCTTGTTTTCTTGATTATTTTTTATCATTTATTACTCTCCTTAGTACCTTTCTGATAGCTGCCCAAAGTTCTACATCTTTATTGCACAACCAGAAGCACCTTGCTAGTTCGAGGTCATTTTTTGAGGCTGTATTTAGTCTAGTACAAGAGATATGGTGTTTGGAAGAGCATAGATTGCATGTGATTCTGGATTTCCTTCCAAGGATTTTTTTACATGTCCCACAGATATGCTGTGCTGACATCCTGTCTGTATCCTACTACACTGTATGCCACGGAAGAAAACTGATTTCCACTTTACCTTTCTCTTGCTGGTGCCAGTAATATGCAAGATGTATTTATACGAACTAAGTTTGCAGTATGTGGGTGGTGGGTGTAGGGTGGGTGGTGGGTGTAGGGTGGGTGGTGGTGTAGGGTGGGTGGTGGGTGTAGGGTGGTTGGTGGTGTCGGGTGGGTGGTGGGTGTAGGGTGGGTGGTGGGTGTAGGGTGGGTGGTGGGTGTTGGGTGGGTGGTTGTGTTGGGTGGGTGGTGGTGTAGGGTGGGTTGTGGGTGTTGGTTGGGTGGTGGTGAAGGGTGGGTGGTGGGTGTAGGGTGGGTGTGAGCCGGGCAGGACTTACCCACACTAAGTAAGTAAGTAAGTAAGTAAGTTTATTCAGGTAAACACAAATACAGTTACATAGAATTATCATACATAGCAGCATATGTGTAGGGAACCTAGGATAACCCAAAAAAGTCAGACAGTGACTTATTTCCATTGGGGTCCTTTATTTCCATTGCCACACTTCACTATTATTTTTATTATTATTATTATTATTATTATTTAAATTCCTTTTATGTAGTGCTGTACACTGTTTATCTCAAGGATATACACTGTATTCTTTCAAAATACACTTTTCACCGCGCTATACTGAGATCATTGTTTTATTATTTACACAGCAGCTAGGCCTACGCTAACTTTCCCCTACGCTTCTAAGGAAAAGATTATTTCCTGTTTAGTAGAGGTAACGGTTGTATGATCAATTTATGTATGCTGTGATTCCCTGCACCTCAATGCTACCACCACTCGTTTCATATCTTATGACTGTAGTAGTTACTTATCCGTTATTAACACTAACTCTAGTTGCTATAATACCTATCTAAGGAAGTGACAACAAGGGTAGCTACAGTCCTGCTTGTGTAATCTTGCCTGAGGGGAAGAAAAGAGGAAGGAGAGAGAGTAAGAGAGAGCGAGGGAAGGGACACAGGAGAGGGAGGAGACGCAGGCGTGGTAGCAGACTACAGCCATGGAGGAAGTGATGCTGTATGAGGAGCAGCAGACCTGTGCCTGCTGTGTGTGTCGTGTGGAGGCCTTGCAGCATTAGCAGTGTTACAAGTTGCAAGCGAACTTGACTGTTGTGACGTGTGTTGCAGCCCCCCGAGGCCACAACACAACATGTAGACTCTATAGCATTGAACCTCAATACATCTGCCACACTGACTATACCACTGCAATATTGTCTGAACTACCACTGCAACATCCAGATTTGATCACAAATAAACAGTCGAGGAAAATTTTGTGCGTAAGGTTTGAAAAAAAAAAAGCACCGGACACTTCTAAAAAATATTAACACCGTAATATTTTTTTTCGTAAATCAGTTCTGGAGCGCTGAAAGAAAAGTGTAAGATCAAGATAAACACACCATGACATTGGCTCTTAAGCTCTGGTGTTTAGGGGCGTGTTTGGCTCTCTCAGGTAAGTTCAGTTATGTTCTTGTGGTTAAGATTTCTCCTCTTGCTCGAGTGGGCAGCCAGACTTAACACAAAATTCTCTTTGTTCTACGATGGGATAAAAAAAAAGATGATCTGGCGTGATTTTAACTCTATTGTTTCTCACATTTAATTGACTTATTAAGTATTTTGCAACGGAAGAACTAGATAGGTTTTCTTAGTTTATAAGAGTCGTAAAGGCTATGGATCCCACTGGGAATATATCAGTGTTTGATTTTGTTGGGTTAAGGTTAAATCTGTATAATATACCATCTGACTGACTCAATGTTATGTTACTGACTGATTCAATGTTAAGTTATACTACTGACTCATTGTTATGTTATACAATTGACTCAGTGTTAGGCTATACTACTGACTCAATGTTATGTTATTGACTGACTCAATGTTATATTATTGACTGACTCAATGTTATATTACTGACTGACTCAATGTTATATTACTGACTGACTCAATGTTATATTACTGACTGACTCAATGTTATATTACTGACTGACTCAATGTTATGTTACTGACTGACTCAATGTTATATTACTGACTGACTCAATGTTATGTTACTGACTAACTCAATGTTATGTTACTGACTGACTCAATGTTATGTTACTGACTGACTCAATGTTATGTTACTGACTGACTCAATGTTATATTACTGACTGACTCAATGTTATGTTACTGACTGACTCAATGTTATGTTACTGACTCATCTCAGTTGCTCTTATGACTATTTCTGCAGTTTGTCCAAGTCCTGATTTTTTTTTCAGTCGTCCTTTATTATCTTCCTTTTCAGTTATATACCTTCCATAAACATTGACTTTTGGGAAACTAGTCCTTCTGATATTAAAATAAATAAGGAAAAATGCGAGTGTCAGGACAACTGTTCAGGGTCCCCGCGTGTTACTCTTGCCCGTCTTGATGTTTCATCATCGTCACTTTACTTCTCGTGTACCAGATTAACCCATCGTCAAACTTTTAACGTTGCCTGGGTTTACCAAGACCCAGCGCTGCCAGACGGGTTAAACTAGTTTCTTGAACTTGGTTTATATGTAGCTGAATAGTTTTTTGGTTTATAGACCCTAAGCTAGCATAACCTAAAATAATTATGTATGTTCATAAACTGATGCTAGGAGTTTAGTAAGAAAACTAACGCTATTGTAATATGTAGATAGACTGTTCAGGTATTATTTTATTCAGTGAACAGCGTCCTTGTCGCCCGCTGAGAGAATCTCCATTCTGTGAATCAGTGTACTGAGAATCACAGGTTTAATGTCTTTATTAGACACCCCATACCCATCCTGTGGGAGGGAAGTCAAAAGATTACAGAGGTACATAAAGGGTCTAGGGACTGTACCTCAACATTATGGAGGCACATAATGGGTCCAAGAACTGTATCTCAACATTACGGAGGCACATAATGGGTACAGGGACTGTACCTCCACATTATGGAGGCACATAGTGGGTCCAAGGACTGTACCTCCATATTACGGAGGCACATAATGGGTCCAAGGACTGTATCTCAACATTACGGAGGCACATAATGGGTCCAGGGACTGTACCTCCACATTACGGAGGCACATAATGGGTCCAAGGACTGTATCTCAACATTACGGAGGCACATAATGGGTCCAAGGACTGTATCTCAACATTACGGAGGCACATAATGGGTCCAGGGACTGTACCTCCACATTACGGAGGCACATAATGGGTCCAGGGACTGGTCTGCAAAGTTTTGATAGCTGAACAAGTTACGGTGGTAGTGAACTATTTACATGTTTATATCTGGTCACAGTCGTAATGAGGACCTGCTCGACTTCCATCAGCCTGTCAGTAAGGTTTAAAAGATTCATAACATAGGCCTCGCTATTTCAAAACCCATGCTTAACAGTTCGCAAACGGGTGAAATTATTTACAAACATTACCTCTCAGTCCACAGCAGGATTCGAATCTACAGACTCTGCATCAATGTATGTAATGGGGATCTGGCCGAGTAGCTTAAGTACTATACGCACTTTGTTGCAGAGTGAAGGTTCAAATTCTGCTGTGGACTGAGAGTTAATGTGTGTTCATAAACCCATGTTGATGCTCTTTTGATGAACTCCGTGTTCTACAATTTCCTATAAATCTCTGTGCAATAACCTAATCCAGTGCGTGTAAGAGATTGTGATATTTTTACAGCCGTCATACACTGACAGCTCTAAAAACAATCGCTATCTGGGTACAACGTAGGCTGTTTTAACTGTTAGGTAAAAGGACACATGTGGAATTAATGCGACATTTTTATTGTGCCAACGTTTCGCTCTCCAGGAGCTTTGTCAAACCACAATAAAGTATAGCATTAGTTGCACTTGTGTCTTTTACCTAACATATTGTCGGTAATTCTACCAACATTATTACAATTTTTCTTTCAAGTGTCTGTTATTAGCTATCCATGGTATTTTGTTTATCATTGTTAGTATATTGAAGTACAGGTATACTCCAGGATCCCTGGTCTCTTGTCTCAATGTCTTCATCAAGTGCCTCGTATCTTCTCCTTCCCCGTCCTCAGAAAGAGCTGAGAAAGGGAGGGAGGTGTGAGGAAGAATAGGGAGAGTGAGAGAGAGAGAGAGAGAGAGGAGAGAGAGAGAAGAGAGAGAGAGAGAGAGAGAGAGAGAGAGAGAGAGAGAGAGAGAGAGAGAGAGAGAGAGAGAGAGAGAGAGAGAGAGAGAGAGAGAAACATCAAGAGGAGCTATCACCTACACTAGGCAGGTGAGCGCGATATTCAAGGTGACTGTTGCATCCCCGAGTTAAAGAGGCCGTCTTACCCTTTCTCCCTCTTATACTCTGTTTTGATGTTGACCTTCCACGTCCTACACACACCATCATATATACTCCCACACCATATATACTCCTACACCATCATATATATATATATATATATATATATATATATATATATATATATATATATATATATATATATATATATATATATATTATATATATATTATATATTATATATATATATTTTATATATATATATATATATATATATATATATATATATATATATATATATATTTTCAACAAGTCGGTCGTCTCCCACCGAGGCAGGGTGACCCAAAAAAGAAAGAAAATCCCCAAAAAGAAAATACTTTCATCATCATTCAACACTTTCACCAAACTCACATATTATCACTGCTTTTGCACATGTGCTCAGAATACAACAGTTTAGAAGCATATACGTATAAAGATACACAACATATCCCTCCAAACTGCCAATATCCCAAACCACTCCTTTAAAGTGCAGGCATTGTACTTCCCATTTCCAGGACTCAAGTCCGACTATATGAAAATAACCGGTTTCCCTGAAACCCTTCACTAAATATTACCCTGCTCACACTCCAACAGATCGTCAGGTCCCAAGTATCATTCGTCTCCATTCACTCCTATCTAACACGCTCATGCACGCTTGCTGGAAGTCCAAGCCCCTCGCCCACAAAACCTCCTTTACCCCCTCTTTCCAACCCTTTCGAGGACGACCCCTACCCCTCTTTCCTTCCCCTATAGATTTATATGCTTTCCATGTCATTCTACTTTGATCCATTCTCTCTAAATGACCAAACCACCTCAACAACCCCTCTTCTGCCCTCTGACTAATGCTTTTATTAACTCCACACCTTCTCCTAATTTCCACACTCCGAATTTTCTGCATAATATTTACACCACATATTGCCCTTAGACAGGACATCTCCACTGCCTCCAACCGTCTCGCTGCTGCATTTACCACCCAAGCTTCACATCCATATAAGAGTGTTGGTACTACTATACTTTCATACATTCCTTTCTTTGCCTCCACAGATAACGTTTTTTGACTCCACATATACCTCAACGCACCACTCACCTTTTTTCCCTCATCAATTCTATGATTAACCTCATCCTTCATAAATCCATCCGCCGACACGTCAACTCCCAAGTATCTGAAAACATTCACTTCTTCCATACACCTCCTCCCCAATTTGATATCCAATTTTTCTTTATCTAAATCATTTGATACCCTCATCACCTTACTCTTTTCTATGTTCACTTTCAGCTTTCTACCTTTACACACATTCTCAAACTCATCCATTAACCTTTGCAATTTTTCTTTAGAATCTCCCATAAGCACAGTATCATCAGCAAAAAGTAACTGTGTCAATACCCATTTTGAATTTGATTCCCCATAATTTAATCCCACCCCTCTCCCGAACACCCTAGCATTTACTTCTTTTACAACCCCATCTATAAATATATTAAACAACCATGGTGACATTACACATCCCTGTCTAAGACCTACTTTTACCGGGAAGTATTCTCCCTCTCTTCTACACACCCTAACCTGAGCCTCACTATCCTCATAAAAGCTCTTTACAGCATTTAGTAACTTACCACCTATTCCATAAACTTGCAACATCTGCCACATTGCTCCTCTATCCACTCTATCATATGCCTTTTCTAAATCCATAAATGCAATAAAAACTTCCCTACCTTTATCTAAATACTGTTCACATATATGCTTCAATGTAAACACTTGATCTACACATCCCCTACCCACTCTGAAGCCTCCTTGATCATCCGCAATTCTACATTCTGTCTTACCTCTAATTCTTTCAATTATAACCTACCGTATACTTTTCCTGGTATACTCAGTAAACTTATTCCTCTATAATTTTTACAATCTCTTTTGTCCCCTTTCCCTTTATATAAAGGGACTATACATGCTCTCCGCCAATCCCTAGGTACCTTCCCCTCTTTCATACATTTATTAAACAAAAGTACCAACCACTCCAACACTATATCCCCCTGCTTTTAACATTTCTGTCATGATCCCATCAGTTCCAGCTGCTTTACCCCCTTTCATTCTACGTAATGCCTCACGTACCTCCACCACACTTACATTCTGCTCTTCTTCACTCCTAAAAGATGGTATACCTCCCTGGCCAGTGCATGAAATTACCGCCTCCCTTTCTTCCTCAACATTTAAAAGTTCCTCAAAATATTCTCGCCATCTACCTAATACCTCCCTCTCCCCATCTACTAACTCCCCTACTCTGTTTTTAACGGACAAAATCCATACTTTCCCTAGGCTTTCTTAACTTGTTTAACTCACTCCAAATTTTTTTCTTATTTTCATTAAAATTTCTTGACAGTGCCTCTCCCACTCTTTCGTCTGCTCTCCTTATATATATATATATATATATATATATATATATATTATATATATATATATATATATATATATATATATATATATATATATAATGTTGCAGTTTAAAAACTGTAGTGTAAAGCACCCTTCTGGCAAGACAGTGATGGAGTGAATGATGGTGAAAGTTTTTCTTTTTCGGGCCACCCTGCCTTGGTGGGAATCGGCCGGTTGTGATAATAAAAAAATAAATATATATATATATATATATATATATATATATATATATATATATATATATATATATATATATATATATATACCCTAACACCGTTATATATATTCCCACGCCATCAGAATGTTAATAAGAAATTATAAAAGATATATTTAATATGGTAGCGAGGTTGGGTGAGGGTGCCACGCACAGATCATGGTAGAACGTCCACACTTTCTCTGATTTAAATAACCTAAACATTTACCATTCATTAAAATTCCACATCTGTATGACCCCTACGAGCTAAGCGCTTTTCCATGAATAAATTAATTAACTCTGACCGTCCGTCTCTCTCTGCGTCTCCGTCAGAGTGCCTGAAGAACGAGCTGTCGTGTTACCAGTGTAACGTCAGCGATAACGTAGCTTGCAGTGACGAATATCTTCTACCATGCCCCAACAAGCAAGCTTATGACAGATGCGAGACCCGAGAGAGGAAGACAGGTAGGTCTGTTAGACAGTGATGGTCACTCCTTATGATATACACAGTTACTGTCACTCTAATTAGTGACGGTCCAGGGGAGTATATTTTGGGTGTACTAGGTAAGTGCTGCACACCCATCAAAGACGGTCAGTTCATCGTAATGGGTAACTAACATTTCTGTCCCTTATTATGAAATATTGTGGCAGTTTGTATGTTTATTTTTGAGTAATGCCAGAGTGGGAGGGGAGAGAGGTTGTACTCAAGTGGGACTTGCACTTGAGTTAATAAGGTTATCAAAGCTTATTCCATGGGTAACATTAATAATGGGTTGGGCGAATATTTTTTAGTGGGTTTGGATTTGACAAGAACCTGCCATGTATGGGTAGTCGACCTGCTGCAGTGTTCCTCCTTGTGTTCTTATGTCTGGCCGTCACCCCCATTTCACCGACATGTCCTTCCCCCAGACATGTCTCTTTTACCCTTGCTTGCCTCTCTTACATCTCTCTCATGTAAAAAATGAATTAAATCCTGATGAAACCTAATTATTACACTGTTACTGACGTTATTCACCTGAATTACAGGTGAATAACTATAGTAATCTGCTAGAATTAATATTACTCTGCTAGAATTAATATTACTTTCCTAGAATTAATATTACTCTGGTAGAATTAATATTACTCTGCTAGAATTAATATTACTCTGTTAGAATTAATATTAATCTTCTAGAATTAATATTACTCTGCAGTTTCCAAGTCTCAGTAACCTCCGTCACTTCTAAGTGGTCAGGGGTTCTTGCAGGCTTCCTTCTTATTATCCTATTCAGTTATTATACCTTGTATGAAGCAGTAAATCCATGTGGAGCATTCATCACAAGGTATGGAGCTCGGTTGGTAGTGCACTCAGCTCACATATTGACTCCGTGGTTCGGTATCCGGTACGGGTGGAAATATTGGGGAGTGTTTCATTAAGACACCTACTGTCCCTGTTCATCTTAGCAGTAAGTAGGTATCTGGGTGTTAGCCGACTGGTGTGGGTCGCATCTTGGGGCCAAAATTAACCAAAGTTGCCCAAAACGCACTACGTACCCAAGGGGTTTCTATACAGTAGGTCAGTGATGTCAGCTGTGGTCTGTATTATGTATTAGTAGAAATAAAGATGATTATTATTATTATTATTGTTATTAATCTGAGTGATTGTTTCAGCTGACGGTCGACGCTGGGTGGAGAAGGGCTGTGCTCTCTCACCCTGTCATCTGCGGCCTGAGGAAGAAGCGTCACTGGGTCTGCTCTGTGACTACTCTGCCCCGAGCTATGACTGTGTCTTCTGCTGCAAGGAGAGTGGTTGTAACAGCAGCGGCAGAGTCGCCGTCAGCCTGTTTATCTTGTCAGTGGTGGTGATGTTAGCATCACTGGCGCCTCTGCTCATGTCCCTGATAATGCTCCGCCATCCCTAGACTCTATAGCCTCTTCTCCAGGACGACTACCTTCTCGCCCTCCTCACAACTCCACCGACATGGCTTATTCTACCACTGCTTGACACTTCACTACCATTATCTCTACTGTAACCGATTTTGTATCTCTTGTTACCTGTTTCCTGTTAAATCATTAATCTGATATCATTTTAACCTGTTTTCTTACATCTACTGCCTTCCACCCTTTATGTTTCACATATTTTTTCCATTTCGTTTGTCCTTTCCCATCTCTAATCTTCACAGCAGCTTCCATCATCTCCATGTATAGCTTCTTATCACCCACCTTTCATCTTCCATCCCCCATATTCTCTATCAGTGCATTTTACAGCATAATATTCTCATCATGAGTTAGCTAGAAGCTTCGTAGAAAGAAAAAAAAACATATGTAGACTGTAAATATATTGTTTATTTCTCAGAATCTCCAGGAAATTCGAGTAATCTATCTATTTGATCCATGTTTTTGATACAACTTTACGTCTTAAAGATCTTTCATAGCATAGTTGTCGGTTCTTTAGTTTGTCAAGCCTGATATTTATTTTGTCCATCTCCTGTCAATATCTGAGGCGTCATCAGGGAGAAAATTTTTTTTAAATTAAATCCACTTAATATAAGAAAATAATTTAGTTATTAATAATACAAGTCGTGAAAAAAGCATTTTAATCCACCCTTTCTGAATTTTATTTTGATAAGAGAGGCATGAAAATCCAGACGCAGAATAAATTTTTTATTTTTAGCCAGTAAAACACAACGCACAATTAAGATTTTAAAATTATACCAAACAAGTTTTAGAAATACAGAGAAGCCAGACCCGAGGTCTACTAGCAACATTCTGGAGCTACTAGAACTATTCTGCAGGCACTAGTCTCACCCTGGGGTTACTGAGAGATTTTGCAGAGGTAACTGCGCTAGTCTGGAGCCACTAACAACTTCTCAGAGGTATTAGCACCATCCTGGAGGCACTAGCACCATCACGGTGGTACTAGCACCATCCTAGAGGAAATAGCACCATCCTAGAGGCAACAGCACCATCCTAGAGGCAACAGCACCATCCTAGAGGCAACAGCACCATTCTAGAGGCAATAACACCATCCTAGAGGAACTAGCACCATCCTGGAGACCAGACACCGTCGAAGTTATCAGGATTGGCTTCGGGCACCTCAGGTAGGATGTGTGCAGGCACGTACCGTGGTAACTCCTCCAAGAGGTACTGAAGAAGCTCCTCCACAACCTCCATGTGCACCGACACGAGGTCTACTCGTTCCTCCGGGTCCTCTGATGGGGGAGGAACAGGTCATAGGCGGCTGAATATGTTAATATGCAGATATTTCTTTATTAATATGATCCACCTAACATTATCTTCATTGAACTTCTACTTCCTTCAAAACCGTTTCAAACTGTACACGCAAAAATAGTTGCATGAATTTATAGAAATCTAAACTGCTTTTTCAAACCGGCGAATTTTACAAGCTAAAATCTGCTATCCCAACGCAGCTCACTTCAAAGCTCACAACAGCTGGCTGGAGGGCCTACGTACCTGTTCACTGCCATGTGAACAAAATCAAGAGATAAACGGAAACATACCTCATTGTCGACCCACCCAGGATTGAACTCGATTCCTTCGCTTGTAAGTCGAATGTGTTACCACTGAGCTATGAACTGTTTGAAGCTATCAACATTTTCTTGTAATAAAGTCTTTGGAAAAGAGGAGAAGGAGAAATTAATCAGCTCTGGCAAAACGACCTTGCGAAATTTACCTTCTTCTTTCAGAAAGAGGTAAGGAGGAAATGAAATCTGCCCATATCGTCCTACTAACATATATAATAATAATTAAATCGTAAAAAATAACAACAACTTTTAAATTATTTTTCCAGAATCTGTTATGTATATCAAATTACTTTCGTCACGTGAAATATTGAGTGTGAGTGATGCAAAGTAGCCACCACCTCCTCCTCTCAGGGATGAAGAGGCATTTGTTGTCACGAGTGACACAAGTAAACCTAATACTTACCCACGAGGATGTATAGTCATTGATGGTTGTGAGAGAGGTACTAGAGACCTCGGAAAATAGCAAAAAGGCACAATACCGTGACTGGAACAATACACAATTAACCCACACATGTGAGATGGGAGCTTACGACGACGTTTCGGTCCGACTTGGACCGACTTTGTAAATGATCCAAGTCGGACCGAAACGTCGTCGTAAGCTCCTCTCTCTTATGTGCCGGTTATTTGTGTAGAGAGCTCGGTGCTTAGCCACGAGGATGTATAGTCACTGATAGTCATGAAAGAGGTACATGAGAACCCGGCACTTACCTGCAAGGATCTAAGTCATTGATGGTACTTACCCTCAACATTGTAGAGTCTAATCTCTGTGTCGTTCTTTTTAGTAACTTGCAGCAACAACTCCTGTATGGCAACGTCCAACTCTTGCGTCCATACGTTATCGCTTATAGTTTTTCTTTTAACATCTCTTTCGCCTTCTCTAGCGTCTTTAGTGTCCCTTCCATTACTTTGTGCACTCTCGATGTGTTTGCCTTTATTATCTTGCAGTGAAAGTATGTCTGCTGCGTCAATATCGGCGTCAATGTCTATAGATAATGAATTGCTGGCACGAGACTTTGGAACGGTGGATATAAACACGAATGGGCCCGCATCCATTCTCTTCGTAGAGATCAAGTGCCTGTGGCTGGATTTCCTGATTTTACTGGAGCTGTTGGCTTGATGGTAATTTAATGCTCGGTCCTCTAGAGATGATTTAACACCTTTCCGCCTGACACTATCAGAGGAACTTAATACATCATAATCTTTCTCCAACTGACCATCTTTAGGATCCTCTGTCTCAGTTGGAAGTAAAACCTGAGGTAGTACAGGACCCTGGCCAGGATGTCTCGATGGCGGAGACTCATTTGGTTGGCCCAGAGGGGCGTCAACAGTGTTAAGTCTGAGTTCTGGAGGGGGTGTCCATTCTCCTTTGCCAGGGAATCCTACCAGAAGCTTGTACTTGCCAATCCTGCATAAAGAAAACCAACCAATGTTAAATTATCTTAAAATAAGAGAGGCACTGCAACTAATTGCAAATATTTTTGAAAAATAAACTGCGATGGTTTGCAACTGACAAAGCTGAATATGATGACAGTCTTGCATACATTTAGTACAGTTTTCAGGAAGATATGACGAAAATATTCAACTTAAAATTATTTAGCCAAAACCTCATCATTTTATAAGTGTTAAAAATAGTATAAAATACCTACTGCCTCTGTATTTGACTGAAGAAGCCTGCTGTGCAGGCGAGACGTTTCAATAATAAAAATATCCAACTATTGCACATGTGTCTTAATCATCACATTATAATTACCTATATGAATTTGCCGGAGGTGAGCTGCACTTCTTGTATATAAGTATCAATGTCAAACGAAGAACACAAGTCTCACCTGACGGCAGCTTTAAATTGTGTAGTGTTGTCTATGTTGTATATCATGTGTGTCCTGGGCGGGGGAGCCGAGTCCACGAAGGAGGACCATTGATCCACACCGTCAATGTCCTCCGGAGCCTCACCCTTGGCCAGGCCCACCAGCGTCTTGTACCAGTCAGTGACGTGCACCAGCCTGGTCATACATACGTGGTCAACTCAGGTCGAGGTGTAGCGAGAAAAAAATACATAGGAATTGAAGCCATGTGGCCAAAGCGGCAAATATTTTTTACTGAATCCATAAAATTGGGATTTAGATCCTGACTGGCTTAGACAAAACTTTGATAATTAAATAATTAATAGTAACATATCCGGCTAATTTAAGCTATGCAGGGGAAACTAAAAGCGATCAGGGCTCAAAAAAAAAAAACAACTAAATTATTATAGTCTTTTAGAGAGTACTGAGAGAAAATTATTGACTAGTAAAATAACGTTCTAAAAGATATTGGGCAATAAAATATCATTCTCAAAGATATTCTCTTAGATACCACTGCTGTTTCTTGATTTATGACTCAAACCAGACGATGACCTAAAACCCAAAATCACAGAAACTACAATTAATTTTTGGGGGGTTTACCTAGAAGAAAAATTCTTGCCAAAATGGGACGTTGTGGTTTTTTGTGAGGAAAAAAATTGGGACGTTGTAAGTGGGTTCTTGTGAGGAAAAAAATCTTTGAGGCCACAGGTGTTACTGACTGGTGACTGATGGTGCCGGGGTTGGGGAGGATCGGTGAGTGTATGAAGGCCACACCCCGGGTGCCACCTTCCCCCAGGTTAGCCCTTTTGTCCCCGAAGAGGCAGTTGTTGGCACCGTGGATTTGGGCGGTCCACCGTTCTGGTACATTGAAATTTCTGTTAAATTCACGTCCATCGTGCAGTGAATTAAGCTTCAATAATTAAAAAACCTTTCAACTTATACGTGAATTACATAATACAGTGTTGAATTAAAGCATCCTTTATCCCATATCAGTTAGATATACATTATATCTATAGTTTTTACATAAGATTTCTTTAAAAAATAAAATCAGTAGTGAAGATGATGACGGAGTTTTTCGTAGTGCCCAGTGATCTTGAGTGCCTCACCACCCGTCCCACTGCCTATCCATGGCAATTACATGCCTGCAACACCACACAACTGTCACCTGGTACTCTGATACACACACCCACACATGCATAGTGGCAGGGCCAATATCTATACATAGTTTTAAGAAGAGGTATGACAGGGCTCACGAAGACAGAAGAGTGAATCCAATAAGGGTCATTAGAAGAGGTAGGACCGAGAGCAATGACTCGACCTCTGCAAGCAAAATGGGTGGGTGCAAATAGCTGAAATCAGGCGGACGTAAGACATAAATGATGATGTAACGATGGCTGTACCAGTGTTGGTGGGGGTTGTACTAGCGTAGGTGTTGGTTGTAGTAGTGTTGGTGTGGGTTGTACTAGTGTTGGTGGAGGTTGTACTAGTGTTGGTGGGGGTTGTACTAGTGTTGGTGTGGGTTGTACTAGTGTTGGTGGAGGTTGTACTAGTGTTGGTGGGGGTTGTACTAACGTTGGTGTGGGTTGTACTCTTGTTGGTGAGGGTTGTACTAGTGTTGGTGGGGGTTGTACTAGTGTTGGTGAAGGTTGTACTAGTGTTGGTGAGAGTTGTACTAGTGTTGGTGAGGGTTGTAATAGTGTTGGTAGGGGATGTACTAGTGTTGGTGAGGGTTGTACTAGTGTTAGTGAGGGTTGTACTAGTGTTGGTGGGGGTTGTACTAGTGTTGGTGAGGGTTGTACTAGTGTTGGTGGGGGTTGTACTAGTGCTGGTGGGGGTTGTACTAGTGTTGGTGGGGGTTGTACTAGTGTTGGTGGGGGTTGTACTAGTGGTGGTGGGGTTGTACTAGTATTGGTGAGGGTTGTACGAGTGTTGATGAGGGTTGTACTAGTTTTGGTGAGGGTTATACTAGTGTTGATGAGGGTTGTACTAGTGTTGGTGAGGGTTGTACTAGTGTTGGTGGGGGTTGTACTAGTGTTGGTGAGGGTTGTACTAGTGTTGGTAGGGGTTGTACTAGTGTTGGTGAGGGTTGTACTAGTGCTGGTGAGGATTGTACTAGTGTTGGTGGCAGTTGTACTAGTGTTGGTAGGGGTTGTACTAGTGTTGGTGAGGGTTGTACTAGTGCTGGTGAGGATTGTACTAGTGTTGGTGGGGGTTGTACTGTCATGTGGGTTTTCGATACGTGGATGGGTAAAAATACTCACGTAGGCTGGTAGTACGTATAATATATGTCAGAAAGTATGGGAAGCGCCAACAGCCGACCTGCCTCTAGCAACCAGTTACCAGTAACCAGTGTACCAGTAGATGACTCACTACCAACCGTCTGTGTGAATCATTGACTGTATTCATATTGATGCTGACCATAGCAGGATTTCAAACACCCTCACCCGTAGGCACTATGGGTCAGTCGTAGATAGGCAGCAGAGAGAGGCAGGTCGGCTGTTGGCGCTTCCCATACTTCCCGATATATATTATATTATACGTACTACCAGCCTACGTGAGTATTTTTACCCATCCACGTATCGAAAACCCACATGACAGTACTAGTGTTGGTGGGGGTTGTACTAGAGTTGGTGAGGGCTGTACTAGTGTTGGTAGGGGTTGTACTAGTGTTGGTGAGGGTTGTACTAGTGTTGGTGAGGGTTGTACTAGTGTTGGTGGGGGTTGTACTAGTGTTGGTGAGGGTTGTACTAGTGTTGGTAGGGATTGTACTAGTGTTGGTGAGGGTTGTACTATCATGTGGGAGTTGTGAGTCAACTGGCACAGTGGTTACTGGTAACTGGTTACTACTACTGAGAGTACTAGTGTTGGTGAGGGTTGTACTAGTGTTGGTAGAGGTTGTACTAGTGTTGGTGAGGGTTGTACTAGTGTTGGCAGCGATTGTACTAGTGTTGGTGAGGGTTGTACTAGTGTTGGTGAGGGTTGTACTAGTGTTGGTAGAGGTTGTACTAGTGTTGGTGAGGGTTGTACTAGTGTTGGTAGAGATTGTACTAGTGTTGGTGAGGGTTGTACTAGTGTTGGTAGGGATTGTACTAGTGTTGGTGAGGGTTGTACTAGTGTTGGTGGAGGTTGTACTAGTGTTGGTAGAGGTTGTACTAGTGTTGGTGAGGGTTGTACTAGTGTTGGTAGGGATTGTACTAGTGTTGGTGAGGGTTGTACTAGTGTTGGTGAGGGTTGTACTAGTGTTGGTGAGGGTTGTACTAGTGTTGGTGGTATAGAAGGAAGTTGGGATGACTAACAACTCACCCAGGTAGGTGCGTCGGTCGGCGTCATTGATGTAGACATAGGGTTCTGTGTACTTCTCAGGTACCATGAGAGGGGCGTGCACACTCTGGAAAGGCACGTACAGGAACATGGGATCCTCAGGGTTTCTGGTCCTCAGTAGATCCTCAATGTATGACGCGAACATATACTGTGGGAGGCATGCAGCGCAGGTACGTAAGTATGTGAGAGGGAGGCAGTGGGTGGAAGGGACGAAGTGGAAGGGAGAAGGAGAGGGAGTGGGCGATGGGGAAAGCAGGAAAATTAGAGGAGAAAATGAGTAAGTGATAGGAAAAGTAGTGAATAAAAAGAAGGTGTATGAATAAAGACGTGAAACATGAAGAAAGAGATGATAATATATTAGGAAGGATGCATA